TTGTTATGTTTGCCTTTGTTATATACAAATTGATATTATTTAGGTTTTAATTTATTACTGTATGAAATCAATATGTGTATTATGCTAAATAAATTATGAGTATAATATTTTGTACCTAATAAACACGTAAAAGTGGTAATATTTTAAAAGTCATGCTTTCACATCTTTAATTTGACTTTGTTATATCCATTAGCCAATTTTTATGAGATAGATTAATTGATTTGATTGTTTGGTTATTTTTTTATGTTTCCTTGATTATATCATTTCTGATTTTGTTTAATACATTACTATTTATTGTTATTATCAAATCAATACATGTGATTTGAATCTTAATTTTTTAGTACCCCTAACAATCGCATTTATTTATTATGCATCTCAATAATTTTGAATTCTTATTAATTCTAATTGTTTGAATTTGTTTGATTTGTTCTAACGATTAACACAAAAAATAATAAAATATATAGTTTCCTTAAAGTTATTTTATTAACTTATTTAGTATGTGAAAATTAAGTACCATCAACACAAACTCATTTATCTCATTGTTTATCCACACATTTTGTTATGATCATGCTAAACCAAGGTCCTCACCTTAAAACTTTTTTTTTCTTCATCTTTCTGTTTTGTAATTTCATAATGCAATAAGTATTGTGCGATGTGCTCGCTTTGAAGCATTTTATTTATCGTCAAATGTTTATTACGTTATCCATTTATTATGTATGCGTATGTATAATAATCTAATGAATCATTGTTTTGCTTTCCTTTTAATTTTCAAATCCATAGATAACATCGTGTGTGTTATATACGGCGACTTCGGCAAAAGATAAACATTGTGGCGTTATGTAAAGATATGATTTTTAGATATATTGTATGGATGGATTTTAAAAACTTTTACTTCTGTTTTTCCATCTTTGATTATGCTTTCAATAATTGTAAGTTTAGTTTCGATGAAGAAGAAGTTGAGTTTAATGAAGGTGATAATGTAATAAAAAAAATACCAAAGTAACTCATGTATATATTTCGTTATTTGTAATATATATTCTTATATGATTTGTTGAGTATATTTAAATAAATCTTCTTCAGTTATTATATTTTCATGTTACAATATTAATTTGTACGTAACGTAATAAGCCTTTTATTTTTATCATTTTTTTAAATATTTATGTACAATATTATTAATTTGTACGTTCATAATATTTTTTTTGCTATTAATATTTTGAATCTTTATGTACATGTCATCAGATTCACCCTTCTCCATTCACTGTAATTCCAAGATTATGACATATTAGCAACATTGTGACTAGATTTATTTGTGACAATGTTTGATTTTGTATGTTTTGAAATAGGAATAATTATTTTTGCAAGCATATTAGAAGTACTAGCTTTTGCAAAAAAACCTATACTAACTAGAGAAATATATAAATTATATAGCATAAAATCTACATTGATCAAGGAAGGAAAAAAACACATTAAAAATGATTTGCGAAATATATAGTAAAATATACATATGTGAAAATGGATGTTGTCAATCCAACGAGGACATTATGTGTGTGTATTCTTTGGATCATTAAAAAACATTTTGGAGAAATTATCTATTTCCCTAAAAAAAAATGGTTTGATATTCCAATGAAAAGAAATCGACGTGCAATATTACGGGATTGATTTTTATGAAGTAGGTCTCGATTATGGATTTGTTGAGATTGCGAACCGAATCTGAAATTTGAGGAAGTTCTAAAATCTCATTAAATTAAAAAAAAAAAAAAAGTTAAAATGTATATTAATATTAATTTTCATTATATATTACAAAATAAGTATATAAGTAATTAATTAAATCGTGTTTACAGTTCAATTAAAATATACCATATATGCCAAACTTTGTACTTTACCATACTTATCTTTTATAGGTTTTGTTTTGATGAAGTTTTTTTTATATATGGATCGAAACAACGTTTTTTCTTTCTCGGGAATTAGAATTTAGTTTTTATATCATATATTACATTTTATCAAACATTTTGAATTCGAATTTTTATTCTAAGAGTATGCATGATTATTAGAATCTTAATTTTAGTTTGTAAACATTCATATATAAGATTTAATATAGTTGAAATGTACTTAAATGTACATAAAAATAGATTCAATATTTACTATTCTTTATGTTATTCTTACGGTCGACTCCAATGAAATTTTATTTGTTTAATTAAGGTCATTTACTATAAATTGTATTTATTTCTTACACTTTTAAGTGATTCATGTTTCAGTAATGTGTACCATTGATTGTATTTGAAGAATAAAAAATGTGCATGTTATTCACAAGGAATTAGATGAGTTATAAGCGATTTCAACATGTGTTGTAAAATACTACTTTGATAATTAAGTTTCATGTTAAGAATTCAAGTGTCTTGGACGAGATAGTTGTACCATTTGGTTCAAATAATGTTTATTTTTTGTAAATGTTATAATTTTTTATATTTTATTTTATCATTTATTTTGTTTAACTCGGTACTTAAATCAAATAAAACATACATATATTTTTTTTTTAAGTTTTTGGATTATATCATATTTTCATTTCTTTAACTGTCCCCATGAATCGTATTAGGCTTAGCACACCCTCATTTCATTCATAGAGGTATTACATTTACATCATCGACGTGTTTTAGTCATTAATACATTACAATCTTAGAATAGATTCCCGTGCATCGCACGGGTGAGTTACTAGTATTATTAAAAAAAACAAAAAATCATGCATCAATAATAAGAATTCATTAATATGTAATTTAAGGGCAATTTCAATAGACAGTACGGTACTGTACTATGTTTGATAATTTGCCTATAGATGGTACTATGTGAGTAACAAATCATCAATGCGTTGGCAAAACATTTTCCTAATTTAAAAATCATTTACATACTACTTCATTTATTTATTCATTATTATATAATGGCGCAATTTACAGAAACCCCCTCTGGTAAAATTTATTAACCTACGAACTTCTGTAACATTGATAATTACAAATACCCCTAAAACTAACAACTCATTATTCCATTACAAACCATAACGAAATATATGAATGAATTGTCTAAATTACCATGTTATTAAACAAACAAATTTTGGATAAATTATGAGCACCCCTCACGTATGATAAAATATTACATTTACGTCCTGGGATAAATCTGAAATTCATATCGAATATTTCAAGAAATCTTGAAGATCTCACTAATAATGAAAAGAATTATATCCATCTTAATATAAGTAAATGAATTGGGGGTTTTTACTAATTATCCTATATATATATATATATATATATATATATATATATATATATATATATATATATATATATATATATATATATATATATATATATATATATATATATATATATATATATATATATATATATATATATATATATATATATATATATATATATATATATCTATATATATATATATATATATATATATATATATTTATATATATATATAAATATATATATATATCACTATGAGATAGAGTAATGTAAAAATTTTTTTTCAAAAAAACACATAGCCCGCGAGATATAATACGCATGTGTCTCTCTCTCTCGAAATCTCTATTTATAAATAAATACACAAACAGAGCGTGAGATATACGCATAAATCTCTCTCCCTCAATCTGTTTATTTAAAAAAATACACTATCTGAGATACATATATATATATATATATATATATATATATATATATATATAACTTATGTTCTTCTAACGTGCGCCGCATATTAAAATTAATTTATGATGAACCACGCTCGTGCCCATCGGTCAAAATATATGGAAAAGCGAAATACCTTAACAAAAATCGAGAAAATAACATCAATCCCACCTAACATAAATTATATTACAATTTTTTTTTATATAAAAAATAATAAAACCGAAAAATAATAGAATAGTGGGACTGTGTAATGAAAGAACCCTGTTGCAAGTTACCTCGTAGCCCGCGTGCTAAAATACGCATATATCTCTCTCCCTCCATTTCTTTATTTAAAAATAAATACTTTATCAGATCTTGTAATTTGGGGTGAAGAGAAACAATAAATAATCTCTGTAAATTTGAATAGTACTATAATTGTAATAAATATTTAAATCAAGAAAATAAAATAATAACTTCCTTTTTTCTTTTTCTTTTTTTTTTGTTTTTTCACTCGCAAAAAATAAATATTTAAAGTTTTCGACCACGTTTTTTAGTTTTTAATTTCTATGATTTTTCCATTATGGAATCACATCAATTTAAAATCTGCAAACACAATCTAGAATTTCTGAATAAGAAAAAAAAAGCCTCTAAATCTTGGCTAAAATCCATAAACTCTTACGTCTGATAATCTATTTAAGGTCTGATAAACTACTATGTCTTATTTTTAGTATTAAATTTTAAAGTGTTTCTTTCAATAATGAACTGACAAGCTGTTTTTATCCATTATTTAAATTAAAAGGTTTGGTAATGCATTTAAAAAAAGAATTATTTGCCATTCAACAACTTATTTTATGAATTTTCAAAATTTATTTACCAAACACTTTGATCGAAGAACTTATAAGCTTATAAACATCTTATAAGTTCTTTTTAACTGTTTTAACATCTAATAAACTTAACCAGATATCCTCTAAATATTCCTACTTTGTTACAAAAGTTTTTCACCTTTTTACATTCTCCAAATAGTTATTATATAAAATTTGCTAACTAATACTATTTTTTTTTTTTTATTATGCTAATAAAGCCAAAGAAAGAATCAATTTTTATTTTATATTTAAAAAAGTAAGCATTAATTAAAAATCTAATACTACATAATACAATATTCCGAAATTCTAGTGTTTGTGTACGTGAGAGTAAGTTGATTTATTTACACAAGCCTTGTCTATTTCATGTTGCTTTATTAAATACTATAATCTGACACCCCCCAGTAGGATTTCGTGTTAGAACACCACTCCCCTCTCTCTCTCTCTCTCTCTCTCTCTCTCTTCTTTCTCTCTCTTCTGCTTATTATTTTATTTTTACTACGACTGCATATTATTAATTAATTAATTCATTTCTTCAGCAAACAAAATTTCTCACCAAAAAGCTGCAACAGAATCGACTATTTCCAGCAAATGTGTGCGCAGGTTAGCAGCATGCACACTCTTTGCCACTTCTTCCAACCCAATTAAACTAACACCTACAAAAATAAAATAATGCAGCTGATCGATGAGAGAGAAAGTAAATAAATCTAGAGAGAGAGAATGAAATAAAGCCTAAAGGCCGATCCTTTATTTTTTTTTAATTTCCCCCTCTGAAAGGTCAATTTCTTTTTGAGAGAAAAAAAAAAAAACACTTGATAATCCGACCACTCACGCTTCGGTCCGCGTGCTTTGATTCAAGAAAAAGAAAAAAAAAAAAAGAAACCGACCCCTCTGAATTTTATTTAATTTTGTTTATATGTATGTTTTGTTGGGTTTTAACTTGTTCCCTTTTGTTGGTGCTGCTGTTTGATGGGTGGGTGGGGTTTGTTGTTTCTTGAAAAATAGCCCCACCATATATACATACATACATAGTAGATTGATTCATCAGCGTCGTCTGTGTTTTTTTTTGTTCCTTGGTTTTGGATTTTTAGGGCATCCCCTCTTTGATTGGTTCCTCTCATACTAGTACTAGATTCTCTGTAATAATAATACTCTCCCCTGTTTTTTTTTTTTTTTACATAGCTCCAAGAAAGACTCAATCTTTGTTTGTTTTCGGAGATTTTAATGTTTGGTGAAGTGATGGGGTAATAATAAATCAAGAATGGGTTCTGTTGAGGAAAAAATGAAACCAGGTTGTTTGGTTAGTGGTGGTGGTGGTGGCCATAATCTTCTTGAAGGGATGAAACTCTTGAAAGAAATGCATGATATTAGTAATAATAATGGTGGGTATTTTTTTTTTTTTTTTGAGATGTTCTAACATTATAGGATTTTCAAGATTTTTTTTTTGATTTAATGAATTGATGATTAGGGGTGAAGAAGCAGATAAACTCAGAATTATGGCATGCTTGTGGTGGTCCATTGGTTAACTTGCCTCAAGTTGGAAGCCTTGTCTATTATTTTCCACAAGGCCATAGTGAACAGGTTTTGTTTCCCTCTTCGTTCCGTTTACATGTTTCCTTTTTGTCATAATCGATAATTTGGTAGCTCGAAAGGGCTCGTTCCCGACTGAAACGGTGCGTAATTGGAACGGTTAAATCGAGAGATGTGTTAGTGTAGACTAACCGAGGTAGTTAATCAACTAAGGCCTCGTTCCGACTGAAACGGTGCGTAATTGGAGCGGTTAAACCGAGAGATGTGTTAGTGTAGAGTAATCGTGATAGTTAATCAACTAAGGCCTCGTTTGGTAGGTAAGATTAGCAATCATGAATTAAATAACTTTTCGTCCGGCCGACCCGCAATTGTGGTATAAATAGCTCTAAGCTTGGATAATCTTATCTTGATAACCGAACGAGGCCTAAATTCTCTCATCGAAAGATTGCCAAGTGCTGATCCCTTTCCCTAAGCTCTAATTTGTGGGCCCCGTTTCGAGTTTTTACTATCGGAAATATTTTTTCGGTAGACGGGTTCTATTCTCAATTTGTTGAAAAAAAAATGCAAGAAAAATCAAATTATCATATAATCTTTAATCTTTATTATGGAACGAATGTCTTAGCTGGAATTTCCGGAAAGTAGCCAATATTCGTGTTTAGATGAATAAATTGATAACTAATTATCATAAGCTTGTTGTTAATAATATTGCATTATACGAGATATCGCACGAGGCTAATGTTGTCGTTATTTGTTTGCAAATAGGTTGCGGTGTCGACTAATAGAGCAGCAACTGCACAAATACCGAATTACCCGAATCTTTCCCCTCAGTTGCTTTGCCAAGTCCACAATATTACACTCCATGTATTTCAAGATTTCATCTTTCATCGTTTATTCCTCGATTTATATGTAAATTATATATATATATATATATAATGTAATGTGTATCGTTAACTAACTATCTTCCGATCAATAGGCAGACAAAGAAACCGACGAAATTTACGCCCAAATGAGCCTCCAGCCTGTGAATACTGTAAGAATTATAACCGGCATTTCTAGTGGAATTCCGTTTTATTTATTTTATTTTTAATTTTTTTTAATGCTTTATTTTAATTATGGTTTAGGAAAAAGATGTAATTCCCGTACCGGATTTTGGGCTGAAACCGAGTAAGCATCCGACCGAATTCTTCTGCAAAACTTTAACCGCAAGCGATACAAGTACACATGGCGGCTTCTCAGTCCCTCGTAGAGCTGCAGAGAAGCTATTTCCACAATTAGTACGCTTTATTTATTGATTTAATATTCTTTTTTTGTTTTTTAAATATCGGAATCGGATAATCAGTTAATAGTATATGATGTCATTTATTTAACAGGATTACTCGATGCAACCTCCCACGCAAGAACTCGTCGTCCGTGATTTGCACGAAAATACATGGACTTTTCGCCACATTTACCGGGGTAAATATTCTGCATGGACATTTTTCTTACATAATTAGTCCTATAATTTATATTCATGTATTGTATGTAATATTTTTTTTTTGTCTGTTTTTTTAGGACAACCGAAACGACACCTACTCACAACCGGCTGGAGCATGTTTGTTGGTGCGAAACGCCTTCGAGCCGGTGACTCAGTTCTCTTCATAAGGTAATTATTATTATTATTTTTTTTTAATCACAAATTATCGACAAAAAAAAGTAGTTTTTAATTCTTGATTGTTATTCAATTCTCCAAAAAAAATTGAAATTATTATAGAGACGAAAAGTCGCAGCTTATGTTGGGAGTGAGACGAGTAAATCGCCAGCTGGCAACTCTACCGTCTTCGGTTTTGTCTGCCGACAGCATGCACATTGGAATACTCGCTGCAGCTGCTCATGCGGCTGCTAGTCGAAGCCCCTTTACTATCTTCTACAATCCAAGGTATATAATATAGGGAAAATTACAGCCAACCCCCCGAGGTATGGCCAAATTACTAAAACCCCCCTCTTGTTTGGGTAATTACAGCCACCCCTCCTTTTAAATATTTTTACATAAAATTTATGTAATTCGGTTATTCATCGAACCAAATCGTATATTTAGTTCGGTAAATGGTATGAAATGTTGGCGTATCGAAATTTCGGTTCGGTTTTACCGATTTAACATCCCTGAAATTTACCTCTGGAAGGGTATTTTCGTAAGATAATACATAGTTGAGGGGTGGTTATAATTACTCAAACAAGAGGGGTTTTTTCGTAATTTGACCATAACTCAGGGGTGGCTGTAATTTGCCCTATATAATACATCTAATAATTTATTTAAAAAAAATTATTTTGGATAATTGATAATAATAATATTTAATATTTTTGCAGAGCATGTCCAGCAGACTTTGTTATTCCATTTGCTAAATACCAAAAATCGGTTTACGGCACACAACTATCGATCGGTATGCGGTTCGGTATGATGTTTGAAACTGAAGAGTCCAGTAAAAGAAGGTAATTTCATATTTCATTATTTTGTTTATTCCGTTTGCCGAATATATAAAAAAAAAAGTTATTCGTTTGACGTTTATTTTCGATTCAACAGATATATGGGCACGATTACGGGTATGAGCGACTTAGATCCACTGCGATGGCCTAATTCGAAGTGGCGTAGTCTTCAGGTAAATTATATACTTACGATAAACACATTTTCTTGATAAATAATACATATTTTTTAATATTATTATTAAATTAAATATTAAGTTTGTTTTTCGATATAATAGGTGGAGTGGGATGAGCCTGGATGTGGCGATAAGCGAAACAGAGTTAGCCCGTGGGAAATCGAAACTCCGGAAAGTCTATTCGTATTTCCGTCTCTAACGGGCAATAATTTCAAACGCCCTTTCAACTCTGCATTTCTTGGTAATATATTGCCGTTACTAGATTTTTTTTTCGGGTTAATTTACAAATAAGCCCCCGAGGTATACCTAAATTACGAGAACACCCCTCTAATTTGCAAAATTACAATTTACCCCCTCAAATTAACGGATCTTAAATTATGAAATACCTACATTGCCCCTAAATAAAAACAAAATAATAATTACAAATAACTCCGTGAGGTAATGTTTACGTTACAAAAGTCTTCATCTTGTTAGCAAAATTACATTTATCCCCCCTCAAACTGACAAAGTAGGTAATTTTAGCCCCCCTTTTTTTTTCAGGAGCACAACCAGAATGGGAGAGTTTGGTGAATAGACCTTTCATTCGAGTCCCCGAATATTCACCGGTCGATTTTCAATGCCCCTCGATACCGAACATGTGGTCCGATCAGCTAATGAAGATGCTTACTAGCAAACCTAATAAATTACCTATCATGCAAGATGCAAATGATACTGCACCACCACCACCACAAGAATCGAAATCCGTGACGGTGCAATCTCCGGATGTGTTTCAACAAGGACAGAATCGTAATTTCGCAAACACGAGTAATAATATACCGCCACCCGTAAAACCAGCCACATCCAACAAAATCGGAAGCCAAATATCTTCGGAAACTAGTTCCGAATTAATCCACCCTACTAATAACGGGCTGCAATCAAGTGGGTGGGTCCCACAGCCGACCCGTTTCGACCCGCCCGTTATTAATCAGACCCAGCAAATCGACCCGTTTCAAGTGGACCCGCAACCACTTCAATATTCGGGTCTGATCGATTTCGCTTCGTACCCTCCGATGAGTTCTCCTTCCGGAACGTTCCAGAATCCCGGAACTTTTTCCATGATCAAGAAATCGGATGGCATCGGTTCTTTAGGACAAGAGATGTGGGACCCGCCTCATTTTAACAACGATGTGTACAGCTGTCTGAATCTTGATTGTAGTAACAGTGGGAGCACGGTGATTGATCCTTCGTCTGTTTCGAGCATGGTTTTGGAGGATTTTTGTCCGTCGAAAAACCCTGATTTTCAGAGCCCGTCGGATTATATTAATGTGGGGAACTATTGTTCGAACCAAGATGTGCAGTCACAGATTACGTCGGCTAGTTTGGCGGATTCCCGTAATTTCTCTGTGCAAGAATATGCTGACAATTCGGGCGGAGCATCTTCGAGCAACGTGGAGTTTGACGAGGGTAAAATATTGCAGCAAAGTTCGTGGCAGCAAGTCACTCCTAGGTTCAGAACTTACACTAAGGTACGTGCTCGATTTTTTTTTTTTCCAAATGGGGCTCATTTTTCTTTAATCATTTCCACAATCTTGTCTCGTTATATTTCATGAATAGGAAATTAAATAAATATTTGAACAGATTCAAAAGGCAGGATCTGTGGGGAGATCGATTGACGTCTCGAGTTTCAAAAATTACGATGAATTGCGATTAGAAATCGAGCGAATGTTTGGGCTCGAGGGTTTGCTTAATGACTTGGGTTCCGGATGGAAGCTCGTTTATGTGGACTTCGAAAACGACGTTCTTCTCGTTGGAGACGATCCTTGGGAGTAAGTACTAGTGTATTATTATTGTTATATAGTATTGAAAAATGAAAGATTTTTCGATCTAAAATGCGGGTCCCGTTCGTTTTTTTAGGGAGTTCGTCGGGTGCGTGAAGTGCATTAGGATTTTATCGCCGTCGGAAGTTAAGCAGATGGGTGAAGAGGGAATGGAGCTTCTAAACTCTGTTGTGTGTTAATGGAGCATTCATTATTTGTGTGTTGTAATTTCTTTTCTTGAGTAGAAAAAACTCTTTTGTAGGAAGGTACTTTTCTTAGGGTTTAATCAAGATTTAATATATAATGCTGATTCTGATTCGAAAATTTCCGAATTTCAGTTATTGTTTTCGGATACGAATCTTGGAGGAAGGGGTAACCATGGAAATAAATCAAGAAAATTAATGGTACCAAAAGACCAGATAGCATAGCCCCCAATTCAATGCAACCATGTATAAGCATGGAATCTATAACAAAACTATTTGTATCTATAGTTCACAATATCAAACCAAGAACTTATGCAGAAACATTTTATCAACTAAAATTCGAAAACTTCGAAATCTCACATCACGTAATAGATATTCGAACCACATAATCCATTGCTATATTAATCTTCTTCTCTATCCCTATAAAGCAATCAAATCGAATGTAACAAGAGACCGCGTAAAATTTAAAAATCGCACCTTTTTTTCGTAGTTGCAACTATAGATAAAATAACCCTATGATCCAAATCAAATCGTTCGGCCTTCACTTATTCGAACAATAACCAAGAAAAATCGAATCTTTTCAAACTATACCCTCACCGGTTTCTGCAAAACCGCAGACAAGTAAACCTCCGATTTACCGGCACCGTTAACTTTCTCCCCCACAACCCACTTCAACTTCTTATACCCGAACCGTTCGATCAAACGAGTGAGAGCACTCTTCTTGTCATCGCTCGAGCAATAAAAGTTGTCCAACCAAAACAAGCCACCTGTCCTAAGCACACGGTCTATATCAAACATCAAGAACTCCAATTTCTCCGATCTACCCCCAACGTCCAATCCGTTCGCCGCGTGAACCAAATCGAAGACATTATCTTGAAACGGAAACCTATGATCCAAGCTAAGGTAGAGGGGGAAAAGCCCCCTCGAGGCAATGAATTCGTTGAAAGGGGCATCGACATTCAGAGTGGCGGTGACTATAGTTACGTTCCTCTCCGCCATCCTGGCGGCAAAAGTGCCGGAGCCACCACCGATATCGAACCCGATTCGAATCCCTCCACCACCCACCACCATCGCAAGCACATCATCGATCAAGAAATCGTTCTTGCTCCGACCCTTCACGTATTTCTGCGTCTCGTAGCCCTTGACAATATCGAAACAACCGGCGCAGTCTCGATTCAGCTTCTTGATATTCAGACAAGCGAGATTCTTGCAGCCTAATCCACTCCAGCTAAAACTCTTCTCGCTAACATTTTTCCAAAGCGAAATCGGAAAAGACTGAAACCCCAATTTAGGGATTGCTTTCGCAAAGCACCTCCTCCTCGGGAGAGGCTCGCACCCCCGAAGAATCAGCTTCTGACCGAGGCTCCAGTCGTCGGGGCAAAGACCGTTGACTTTATAATTCATGAATTCGGACAGCAAATCCACGGATTTCTCGCAGGAGTGGCCCACTGAGGCCACCATTTCAGTGATCCCAGTTCTTGAATCTTTACCCAAGGGGAGTAGATGGTGGTTCAAGAACTGTTTGAGCTCGATTGCGATGTTTGGTCTGGAAAGATCGATGCTTTCGTAGCCGAGGAGCTGTTTTTCCATCTGGGTTAGTTTCTTCTGGGACGATTCGATCTCGCGCAGGATTAAGCTGACTTTTTCGGAGATTAAGGAGATGTTTTTAGGGTAGCTGTTGTTGTTGCTGTAATGGTGGATGGTTGGGGTGTGGTATGTGAATGCGTAGAGAGCGAAGAGATTTGTGGTGATTACTGAAAAAAGCATCAGGAAATTCACGGCGGAGGAATACATTGTTGCCCTTTTGAATCTTGCTGTGCCGTCTCCGATTTTCAGAGAAACAGCACCCATTGTTGTTTCTCTCTCTAGCTTCTTTCTCTCTCTGTTTCTTGATCTTTAATGTGAGGTAGAAATGGTTGTGTGTGTTTGTGTGTGTGAGAGAGAGAGAAGAGCAGTGGAGTGTGAACAGTGGGGTTAGATTCAAGTGAGTGAGCAAGTTGAAGAGAGAAGGATTAAAGAAAGAAAAGTTGATTAGGACAGTAGTTAATGAAGTAAAGCAAAGATTAGCGGTGCTAAAACTCTTGGTGTTTTGTCGGTTGGTTTTTTAAGTGGGGTTTGAACCGTACACGTGTACGCAGATGACGTGGGGAAGTGTAATTATGTGGAAAAATTAAAATTTCAGTAGAATGACTGAAGAAAAAGGACATTTAAATGCAACCCGTGAGCAATTTATTCACGGCGGTGGAAATCACAACGAAATTTTCGACTTTTTTCGATTTTGATTCGAATAACTTTAATTTTTGGAATAATTTTTTATTTTTATTACAATTTAAAAAAGTCCGATTTTTTAATTTTATAATTTTTTAGAAGGGGAATTGGAATTAATTTTTCATTTAGAAAAAAATGGATTTTTTTTTCATTCATTTCAATAGAAATTATCAAGAATGAGAATTGATTTGTATAGTTAATTGAAATGGAGTTGAAAAAGAAAGTGTTGTTGGAGAGAAAAAGGGTCGAACAAAGAACTAAACTTTAGAAATGCTTTTTAATTTCATAAAGTACTAATAAAGTTATCAACAAATATATAAATTATTAATTATTAATTTATCAATAAAATAATATTCCGCTAAATTAATAGAATTTTGTCGATCCCAACTGTATTAATTTATAGATGTTTAATATACAGTAGAACCTCAATAAATTAATAATATACGCTTAAATAATAGTTTCTTCTGATCTCGACTCGGTAAAAACCTACTAAATTATTAGTTCGATAAATTAATATTTCACTAAATTAATAAAATTTTGCTAGTCCCGACTGTATTAATTTATAGAGGTTTCACTGTATCATGAAATAAAGAAAATCACAGCAAAATTTATACAAATGCCAATCAAGATATACACTTCACAAGAATATATACTCTTTCCTGCACTTCTCGATTTCTCGTATGCGTGCTCTTTTTTACCAGTAGTCGCGACAAGAACACACTCCATTCTTGAAATGGTGCAAGGATTTCGAATCACTGATATATATTTCACAACCGTGTCTTTTCGAGACCAGCTTCGCAAACCTATGACAGTTGCCACACATTCTCACGTTCTTCACAACTCTAATAGTTCGAGGAGTCGACTCTCGACAAGACTTTATCAAAGCAAAAGCTAACGCCAGTTTTTCACTATGAATTCCCACACTTTCTTCTTCTTCTTCTTCCTCCTCTTCTTCAATACTAAGCATATCACGATACTGCGATTCCTTATTACAAGACTCCACTCTTTCGATCCAAGAACGCAGAGACTTACCGTCCAGCTGGCGAAGATCCCCACTCACAAAAGTGTGAACTGTGTTTTTCTCCTCGATCCAGCTCCGCCCGAGAGAATATCCCGTCGTCTCTTTCCTTTTCATCTTCAAAGATTCCTTGGAAATCCCTCGTAAATCGTATAACTGCAAAACCAACTTCCGCACAAACAAAGTATCATTATTATTATCGGGTTCCAATTCGAGTAGTTTTTCTCCAGCATGGATTGCCAATTTAACATTCCCATGCCTACGACAACAAGTTAGCAAAGCCCTCCAAATCGACACATCTTCCGATTCTTCCGAGGCCATGTTTGCCACGAACTCAAATGCTTCGTCAACTTTCCCCGAACGGCCATACAGATTCACCACAGCAACGTAGTGATCCAAACAGGGCACAATCTGATACTCTTCGGTCATATTAGAAAAAACCCGTTTCCCTTCTTCGACTTTCTTGGCTAAACCATACGCAGAAATTACACTAGCAAATGTTCCCCTATTCGGCCTGCACTCCTGCCTCGTCATATGCTCGAAAAGCTCAATCGCCTCGTCAGCACATCCGTGCAGAACATAGCCAGTTGTCATCGTGTTCCATGTAATGATATCTACCGATGGCATATTCGCAAATATTTTTTTCGAGTATTCTATTTCGCCCGCCTTCGCGTACGTGTCTATCATAGAATTCGCAACCGAAAGCTCCGACTCCAAACTTCTTTTCACCACACAGCAGTGAATCTCTTTCAGCTTCTTCACCGCAATTAAATTCGCGCACGCTGGCAAAATGCTCAAAACAGTAACCGAATTCGGTTTCACACCGCAAGATTGCATCTGCCGGAATATTCCCAACGCTTTATTCTTCTGCCCGTGATCCAACAATCCAGCAATCAGAGCGTTCCACGTGGCAGTATCCCGTTTAACGCCCCCGATCTTCTCCATCGTATTGAACATATCCATAGCCTCATCTTCATCTCCGTTTTGTATGTAACCTGTAATCATCACATTCCACGTCACCACATTGGGCAAAATAAAACCCGATTCTTGCATTTGTTTGAAGAGATCGTGCGCGACCCCACAGTATCCAGCCTGGCAGTACCCACCAATCATCGAATTCCAAGTGTACACGTCTTTTTCAGACATCGTATCGAAAACCCTTCTTGCAGAATCGAGTTTCCCACACTTCGAATACATATCGACTAACGAATTCCCCACGAGCACATCTTCACCGTGCCCTAACTTTATAGCAACCAAATGAACTTCCTTCCCTTTTCTAACATCTTTCAAAGAAGAACAAGCCGATATAGCACTCATCACAGTGATACCGTTCGGTACAACCCCAGATAGAAGCATCTCTCTAAACAACTTCACCGCCTCCAATCTCCGATTATTTTGAGCAAAACCCAAAATCATGCTAGTCCATGTAAAGACATCTGGCTTAACTCCACAGGTTTCCATTGCATTCATCAACTTCTTCGCCACATCACACTTTCCAAGATGATTACAGCTGGAAATCAATACATTCCATGTGATCTCGTCCGGTTCGAGACCTTCTTCCTTCATTGACTCGATCAATCTCTCCGCCTCGTTTATTTGTCCCGCGTGACAATAACCCGTAATCATTGCATTCCAAGAAACTCTGTCGTTCACTTCCATCCGTTCAAAGAACTTCTCAGCTAAGCTCAAAAGCCCACATTTGGCGTAAACAGAGAGAATCGAATTATTCACGCGAAGTTCTCTACTCAGGCCGAGTTTGATCGCCATCCCATGAATCAACCTCCCTGTTTCTGCGTCTCTCGAATTCGAACAAGCCTGTAAGATTTTCGGAAACAAGAAATTGTCTGGGATGACATCACCATCCTTCATCATCCAGTAAAAAAGCTCCACCACGTCCCCCCACCTCTTCTCCCTCGAGCAAGCCCCGATTATAGCGGACCACGTGTACAAATTTCTCTGACGCATTTCCTCAAACACTATGAATGCATCATCCAAAGACCCGCATTTTGCATACATACCAACCAGCTTGGTTTCCAGAAACGGGTCGGGTTCTTTGACCCATTTCTTGACAGTGGCGTGGAGCTTGTAGCACAAGTCAAGTGAATTGGAATCGATGCACGATTCAATCAGGCTGGAGAGAGTGGCGGGGCTCACAGTGGAACCGCACGAGTCTAAAGAGGAAATAGCTTCGGTCAGGCGGCCGTGGTTGCATAGTCCCTTCAGATAGGCGTCGTTTGCGAGTTTTTGTTGGGCGATTCTTGAAAATGCTTTGAATTTAGAGGGGTATTCTGAGATTTTTGAAGGTATTATTATGGTTTTGCAGGGAAGAATTGCGATCTCCATTGGAATATGTTTTTGCTGTGAATTGAAAGAGAAATGCTGAGCCACAATAATTCGTGATGATATTGATAGCCTTTGAAAATCTGTCAGAATTTCTATCTTCCTCAGAAAAAAATATGATAATTGGTGGACAGTGTTCAAATCTCATCACCTTGTCATTTTTTTTTTTTAATTAGTAGCATTTTTTTTCTAATAAAAATAATGGTAAATTACGGTCAACCCTGAGATAAGGCAAGTTACGAAAAAACCGCTCATGTTTGGGTAATTATAACTAACTCCTAAACTACGAACCTTCTTACATGTTCATCCTCGAGTGTCAAATTCAGTGAAATCTTCTAAATTATGTAGAATATTCTTCAATTTGTACCTGTTTTACTTCATTCGAGCTCCACATTTTGAAACAAGATGATCATAAGACAAGTCTCTTGGCTTGTAAATAAATATCAGATTGTGTTACATCAGATACTGCATTTTTGCACAAAACGAGTACATACAAGCTAGAGAACATTTCACGAAAACTAAAAGATTATGTTAACTTTGAGACCATGGTTGACTTGTAAGAAGATTCATAGTTGATAGGTTGTTATAATTATCCAAACATGAGGAGTTTTTTTCGTAAGTTAACCTTACCTCACGAAGTGACCTTAATTTACCCTAAAAATAAAATGTATCAAATTATTCAATACACACAACAAAAAATTAATTAGGTCAAGCATTTAAAAAAAAAAAAAAGAAAAAAAAAACAGAAGCCAGCAGCTTATTATCCTCTTAACTTGAAAAATTGAGGAGAAAAAATCTCATAAATATGAATAAACAAATATGATTTCATCCTCGGCGTCAAAGAAACATAAAAATAAAGATATACAATATTGCAACTTTTGTTATTTATGTTCCAGTAATTTCTCTATCCAGTTTCACTCTCTTACTACTTTGAACCTCTGGCATGCTACTGACCCTTTGCTGCGTCGATGCCGATGATGATGTCATCTCATGCAAATACGTACAGTTAGCTCCGTTTCTACAACCCCTCGGGCTGTTAAAATACATGCAAGGTTTCATTACCTTCGGTTTTGAATCTCTCTGTTTCATCATATTCGATGCTTCTTGATTGTTCTGAATTTGCTGACCAAATTGCTGCATATTTTCTCTTCTCTCTCCTCCATGCTGCTGGATAAGGCTCTTATAATAGCTGATATCCTTCGCCGCCGGAGGCGGCGACGGAGCGGCGGAAATCAAATCAGAAATGCCGGACGGCGGCCGTTGATTGGGGGGGATTGGTCCAACCCTGCTCGGAGGGTAAAACGGTCCATTTGCAGGGGGCCTCAGAGGTGGTGGTGCGAACGAATTATTGTACTGTGTGCTGCTGCTGCTGGTGCACGGTATGTTGCTGTGCACGCTCGGTGACGGTGGAGCGTTCTGCACTGCGGTGTGGTTAGTGACGAGGTGCTGGACCATTTTGGGGTCGCAGAGGATTTTAAGGAGGAGGTCGCGGTCGATCATGTTTCCTCCTCCCTGATTGCTGTTCGATATGGCTGATGTTAGGGCTGACGTCATCATGACATCACTGCTGACCTGAGACAAGTTTTGAGTCTGAGGGACTACCGAATTTGTGATGTTTACTGAAGCATCTAATGCAGCAGCATCTTCGTCTTCGATTGGTGTGACTGGGACCACGGGAGTGTAGCGGTCGTCGTTAGTCGAGTTTTCCTCGCCGATTAAAGGAGAAGGGCTGCACAAAGGCGAAGGGCAAAATGGTCAATTCACATAAGAAAGGGAAATTAGAAATATCTAAAGGTTTATTGCATTCTTCAACCCCTGTATTTTGTCTAATTGTTAAAGAAAGCCCGCCATGTTATTTTATTAGCAAAAAACCCCTAAAAACTCACTTTTTAGGGGATTGTTGCTAATATTTATAACACAGGGGGGTGTCTTGGCAATTCGATAGAACACAGGGGGTGCTAAATGCAATAAACTCGAGGTAATAAGAATGCATCATTGTACTTTGGAGGAATGGCAGTGGAGCGTGGATAAATTGCTTCTAGAACTCTCATTTCGCGTTCGTTCTGGGTTTCCATTTCATTGCTCTCGTCACCAGCAACCACTCTCCAACCAGCATTTACTACCAACTGAAAAAAAAGATGCGAAATACTTTAGTATCAGAAAAAAAAAACATGCTTCAATACTAATAATATACAAGTGCAGTATAACCGTGGTACATAATAAAACCTACGCAAAGCCTTGAGTTGTTGCCTTGTAAATACTAAGATATAGATGCAATGGTAGAACGAAAAGAAGAAAAAAAAGGACGCAGGGTCGTCTGTCTGATATCTCAAATTATAGCCCACGTAAAATATCTTTTCTACAGGAATTTTACAATAAAAAATGAAACTTGTATCCCGATTTACAATGCACCGCTGGGTACTATTTATTAATAAAAGACTGACTTCAGACACTTTGTTAAACTTTAATAAAACATCAACCCGAGATGGTTGTCGGTTCGAATAATCCCAGCCTCGGTCCACTTCCGGGTAAACTTTATTGTCTGTCACAGCTGTAGGGGCGAAACGGGAACATGAACAAAAGTACATCTATACTCTTCAAACACACAACGGAAATTTCATTAAAAATAATACAATTAATATTCATTGGGTACTTACTCTGGGAGGGCATTTCCATTTGATCAACGGTATTTGAGAAAGCTTTGCTGTCCAAGGATTTGGAGGCTGGATTCCCTCGAAGCCAGGTGGCAAATTGTCATTGGACGTTGAGCCACTACCGCTCTGTGCTTGCCATAATGACTTAGCCTGGAGATGTTCTTGACTTCCAATTCCAACTTGTGACGGATAGTCTTCCGACAAAAACAGCCTCACCTATTATACGTAATGAATTTAGTTGAGTCGTTATTAGTCGGTAAGTCTACTTGCGTAAATATATCCTACACGCAATCAGACAAATACAAGATAGAAATTTACTATATACCACCTCATCATTTCTTATTCTCAAGCTACTATAAAACACACACACACACACTTGCCCAATAGAATAATCTTGATGAATAGAATCGTGAGTATGGCTATTTAACAACACGTAAAAGAGTAGTTATCAACTTACTCACTCAGCCCATTTCAGAAAACAGAGAGATGGCTGATAGATAAAACGAGTAAATTAAATAAGAATATTGATTCGAGTGCAGCTACTTCCACCCCCCAAAAAAATCCCAATACACCACCATATTTTTTATTTCAAATTTAACCTTATATGAAAAGTTTAATATATCCTCAAGTCCACCACAACAATATCTCTTTCTTTTTCATCCCTCTTCGCGAATTATTCTCCTTTCATTTAAAACCCATCATTCTCCGTCGAAATCCACCAATCTCATTTTCGGCTTCTTTGTGGATCAAACGTCGATTAACGGGAATACAAGAAGGATGTCAATATAAAATTCATGCAATTCGAAGGCAAAAATCATTTGCGTACTGTATTGAGAGGTTATAAGCACTATAAAATATCTGTGTTGATAAATGCATGTGAACTTTAAAACCCTAAAATTGATTCAAATTTATACATTGAAGTAACTAGATGGCTGTGAATTTAAAAATATACATCAAATCCATTCATTTCAAATCCTTCAATCTAAATGTACCCTAAATTAAAATATATGAGTATATTGAAGATGGTTGTGAATTGATAATTTTACATGGTGGAAATAGCATCACTTATCAGCTATCTAATTTGAAGATAACATTTCGTGATTAACTGTATATTTCCCGAATACCAGTTTTCACCAACTGTTTTCATTCGAATTCTCTTTCTTTCTATCCTCTCTCGCCGCTTTAAATTTTTTTTTGGGGGGTTTCATTCGAAATACCCCTACTATTGCAGACATGCCACTTATTGAAGAATCAACCAAATTAACAAGAATATGAACGAGTATACATACAAAACTCGGAAATTCTAAAGGAAGTAATAATAAAAATTTTCATAGACAATTCAAAGTTCTTTATGACTTGTTGACCGACCACCCACGAATGTTGCCAAGCTTGGGGATGGTAGAATCAGAGGTACCATTTCGATACCTCATCGTCCAGTTTCGAAATTCAGCAGTGGGCTGAAATTTACAATCCAGCCCCTATCACAAAAAGTAGACACTCCTTTAGGATGGGATAAAATACTTTTATCCCATCTAGTGCTGCAAACAAACACTAACTAAGAGCATGAATCTTATACAGAATATTAATACTTCGACATTTATATTTGTACGAGTGAAAACTAGAGCTCAACAACCCCGTTCGTTTCTAAGAAATCTTACATTTTACTTAATCGAGAAGGGGAAACGAGCAAGATTACTTCCAACCAAATCAAGAAAAAGGGTTTAGCTTAGAGTGCTACAACTACAGAGAATGTAGATAGAATGGACACTTGTCATACTTTTTAATAAACTCGAGAACTAGATGCTTTCTTTACACGTGTCAGTCATTCATGCGTTCTCCGTTAAACATGATTCTGGTTTCATTCATTTCTATTGGTGTAATCTTTAAACACAAAAAACCACAACCTTTCTGCAATCCACCAAAATCTTAACCGCGTTACAGAAATCTTACACATGTTAATGTTTCTATCTAGACACTATTCAAACCACGAAAAGTTGGATAGCATTGACCAAACTACCCTACCATCGAGTGTCAATACAATGACACTATACTTGAAACATGTGTTCTAACACAATACACACAATTATGGTTTATGCAACTCATATTCAACACCGAGCTTCTTTTACTAACTCCATGCACAGATAATGTTGCAACGAGTTGTATCTATCTGTAACTCACTTCTAACTCATCAACATAAGCATTTAAGGGAAATTCATTTACTTAACACTAAACAATGCCAAAGTCAACTGAATTTCCAAATCAGACAACTTTATCTTCTTTTCCCCTAAGGAACCCTTTCTTTCAGACAGTAACAAAAGCACATTTGACATTTCCACATAATCCACTGGTAATAAAAATTTAGGCAAATTCAACATTTCCTCCATTTATTACGAATTCCAGAGTAAATTATTATCATTGAAGAACAGTCAACGAGAAAATTAAAAACTTTAGAGGATTCTTACAAAAAATATACCTGACAAAGATTACCATCCGAAGCCCAAGTAATCCTTTTTGGTTTCTGCGATCTTCCCATATTAACAAATCAAACAAACTATTGATTTGATTCTCAAATATTCGGATATGATATATATATATTATATATATATATATCTTATCAATACAAATTCAATCGCGTTTTTTTAGCAATCAAATCGCCAACATCTCTGTAAATTTTTTTTAACCCTGATTGCCGATTAAAACTTTAGTTTGATTGATGTTTTCAATTGTAGCAGGAATCGATTGAGAGGAGGGAGAGAAGACAGGATGAGAGAGAAACAAGAGTGAGGATAAGTCCAAGAAACCCTAGATAGGAACCCTAGATCCTCTTGATTTTTATTTTTATTATTTTCACCTCTGTTTTTCGCCACTTAATTTTCTACCCGAATATCATTTCCGCAGCGCCCATTTTATATAGAGATTTTCCGTGGCGCGCGTGATTGTAACGCTCCTCTGACGCGCGTAGCTGGCCGCCACCCAGGCCCGTGTGACTGTATGAGTCATTTCCGTCACGGTGTCAAATTTGACCACGGTGGCGATTTATTTCATTTTTTTTTTGAAATTTGATTCTAGCACAATTTTAATTGTAATCCTGGATTTCACAATTTTAATAATAAATTTTAGTAATATTTCTGGATAATTCCCTCAATTTTATCATAGTTGTTATTAAGGGTCTACGGCAGGCCATTTGGATAGAGTTCCATGGATCCGATTACATTGGGTTCGATCTATATGAATCCAGTTTGAATGAAATCTAGTTAGAATTAAATCAAAACGGACCAAGTTGACAATTTTTAAAAATTGGATCCATGTGGATGCACTTTTGATCTATTGAAAGCAAAAAAAAAGTGATAATTATGTAACGGAAATGCTATTCGCGGTTGCGTTTTTGCTATTCGCGGTTCATAAAAAAAACCCTCTCTCTCTCTAAACCTCCAAAACCCAAAAACCGCAAATAGCAAAAAAAAAAAAAAAAAAATTCAAAAAAGAAGAAATCAAGCTCGAATAGCCATTGGGTTTCGATTTTTTGAGGTAATTTCGACTAATTTCCGTATAATATGCATTGCCCATGTCGTTTATGCAACCAATTTCATGTTTAAAGCCCCTACAAATCGAATTGTAGGGGCTTTTTTATTTTCGGAAGTAACGAACTGCACGCCCAAGTTGGGC